ATTATCAAGACAGTTTTACCAGAGGGAGACTTGTAAACCGAAACTGGTGCACCGAACTGCGCCTCCATGACCTAATCGGTTTGACGCCAAACTGCCATGTCGAGTCAACTAACTAGCACTGGGTGTTGGCGCTGCGACATGGATCTCATGAACTACATAAGTCCGTATCCCGTATATGGAGGGTTTGGTTGCGTAGGTGATTCGAACATGGCGGCGGCTTTTGGAGGATGCCATTTCAGGGCAATTGTGCGTCTTTGCCAGCACAAGGCAGGATGACAGTTACCTCGAATGAAAATGTTCCACGAAAAAGCATCCTAAGCCATGTTCAAATGAAGTACGCAACCACGCCCTCCTCACCTCCGCGATATGGATAGTTCCCCGGTGACCTGCGAGGACTTAAAGTACTGAAATTCAATGCTCACAAATTGCAGGTATTCGTTCTATTTTGCACTAGAACGTCGTCCACGGAGATACCGTATCGGTAAAAAGAAGCCCCATCGGATGTGGAAACGAAATGGCCAACTATCGGCCACTCCTTTTGGACAACTTGAACTCAAAGGAATCGTGCCATGTGATCAGGTGTGTGGTAAAAACACGGTCGATAATCGTACCGGTTAGACCTTTCAAAGGTGAATTCCTTGTAATTTCTTTGTAAATCTTCCCACTCCGCTCACGGATAATAATTGAATGTAATATAGATTATTCTCGCAATGCAGAGTAGGACGTTCAATTTTTCACAGCCATTTATTTTCTTTTTTTTTTGGTTCCGTTATGTGCCGATGTGTCTCACTTGCCCTCCCCTTGCTCGCTTTACCATCACTATAGTTTTTTTGGTGCCATTTGTTTGTGCTTATTGTATTTCTATGCCTCCTGAACCTTCTAGGTGAACATAATAGTGTGATGATGATGCTATTGATTATGTGTACGTTCTAGATGTATGGATATTGGGTTCTTTCAGTCATTTCTGAGAGTGATTCTTCTACAGATTGTCGTTCAATTGAGACGGTTATATGAAGTGCTTAGTCATGAGAGGGTAGCTACATAGCAGCAGCCAGGCAATGTCGTCGCCAGCTCCCATCCTCATTCTCCAGCCAAGTGTTTGTCTTTCATTGGGAACGAAGCACTTCGCACCCGCATAGATCGCTTCTGACTAAGTTTTAGCACACAATGTGATATGCCCCTTCAGGCTGACATCATCGTCATTAGAATCGCCTTGTCATCACTACGGCCGCCGGCGCAGCAGCCTCCATTTTCATCGTCCATTTCCGCTTTTCACTCCGGTACTGCGAGACGGCTGCCACCAGCCAGCCGATCGCGTCGGTCGCTGACGCTCTTGACGCGATAATTCCTAATCAAAACTTCGTATTGTTGGCTCACGTACTCATCAAGCACTTGGAGCTCACTCAAGCATTCGCGCACGAGTCCAAAGAGCACCATCCAAAGATCCTCGCAGTGGATTTTGAACCAATCGAGGAAGTGAGCAAGCGTTCATGCAGAGCGCCAACGTCAGGGTGTTGGGAGGTCGCCGCGTTCCTCGCATTGCTCCATTCGTTATGTCAATATTCGATTGAAACAACACGAGCATACGCTCAAATAGCCAGAGGAAGAGATCGCCAGCCACTGCACTCACGAATCGACCAACATTGCTTGAATTCCTTGGAACCATTACATCAAAGCAAACGCAGACTCAGCATATGCTGGTTCCCTACGGGCAGCGTACAGCACCGTTATCTGAAACACGTAGGAGAGGGGTCATACTTTCCCGTTGGAGAGGGGGTCGTATTTGGTCGTTGTTGGGAGGGAAGGGGGTCGTATGTGGCTTTGAGAGGATCTTGCCGCGTTGGAAAAAAACAATCCTCCGGTTGTTGACTTCTCGTGTCCTGTTTCATGTCTACTATATACCACCCTTCCCCTTCCCCGCTCGACGGAAATTTTTCGGGTAAAAGCTGGCGCGAAAATGTGTGAAAGTTGGGTAGGTACCGGGTTGGACGAGGCGGAAGCGGCTCGTACCGAGAAGGCCGCTTACTTGTAGTGGTGGGAGGTCGACAACTGATCACCCTCTGTCGAAGGGCGTCGTGAGGGGCAGGCGTGACGGTCGAATCTACCTCACCACACGCATCACACTACTACACAATTCTGCGCTAGGGGCGGCCTAAAACCCGCCATCAAATCTGTCATGGGCATTGTTGGAATGACCTCCATTTAGGGCGATGAGTTACTCCTTCAAAAGGCTTGGAGCTTAGGACAAAGCTTCCAACGCTGACATCCATCCCTTATTGGATCAACGTCCGAAAGTGTTGGGGATACGCCACGCATTCCACTTCAATTAAGAATCCTAGTGATCCTGAGTGCGACAAGGCCCGCAAAATGACTTGTGGGCGTCAAGTTTTCACCCTCTCTTTCGAATCCGGCACCAAAGTCCGGGTAACCTGGAGCGTGAGAAGCAGGGCAAGCTCGGTTGCGCTAAGGCGCAGAGCAATCTGGGCTCCTGGACCTGACGGCCTCGCGCCGTGGTGAGCGGGGCCACTTCTCATTAATCCACCTTGAACTCTTGAACCTTTCAGTCCACATACGGGTCCCGGAACCTTTCTACTTGTATTTTGGAGCCAGCGAAAGCATTCTCTTTAATATATTTGTTTATCCCCTGTCTGAACAGAATACTGAATTTTTGTGCTGATTGGAAAGTGTTGATTTGGCATGATTTCGGAGATGATTTGGAAAGTCTGATTTTTCTGTTCGCAGGTAGCTAAAGGGGAAGGGGTCGTATTTGTTTGTTGTTGGGCGAGAGGCGGTCGTATTAGCCTTCTGAGAGGAAACTGCGGCTCTGGAAAGTAGGTTAGTAGTTAATAGTAGGAAGTAGGTTTCCCGGTTGACTTGAAAAGGGGGGGGGGCTTCGTATCAATGCCACCTTTCAGGGGAGGGCGAACTCGAAGTCCTCCCTCTACTTCTTAAAAGGTGGCTAGGGGTACTACGAATTCGACCAAAATTCCTAGCATGATATGCCCTGTCTGGAAACTGCGCTGGACAACCAACCAAGTCTTCGCCCACCAGGCAAAGATAGGTTGAATGCCAGACGCATCTCCAGCAATGCCAATCATAAAACCCACTTTACGGTTGCACAGCTTTGATCTCTGCTCTCTCTCTCCAGGACCTCGGCACTTCTACCCTACACTCTTCACCATTTTCTCCACTGGCTCTGTACAGCCTGCTGTAGCTTTCCAAGTACTGACAACTAGCTAGTCTCTGCCATCTCATGACTTGTTCCCGAAGGCCGGAGGTGTTACCGCAGGTTACGCATTTCAGATGTGTGCCGCGTTACAGAGCGTTTCCTACTGTTGGGGCAGCCCCGACGTCGATTCATGACTAAACCCATATGTGCTCCGACAGTTGCCGCTAACTGATTCACGTATCAGCAGAGGTCACATATGGCAATGTTTTGATGCAGAAAACCCCTTCGCATTAACGCGGCGGACTACGCGAAACCGACGATAGCCCCACCGTTGAACTTATTAGGTTAGAAGGTTTCCTCTTCTTCAGAACGCCTAGAAGGATCCCTCTTCTTCAGAACACCCTTTCCTTTGAGCGAAAACTTGGATACACTCTGCCAGCGCAACGGCTGAACTTCAGGGGCCTTTCTACCTTCGGAGGCACAACTCGGAGCAGGGCACACCCTTGCTATTGGGGATCCCTTGATTTTTTGGTTTAGGGACCTTTGTAAGCGGGGGCGGGGTCGTATTTGGTCGTTGTTGGGAAGAGAGGGAAAGTATTTCCCTGCAGACCGTTTAGAAAGAGGTTGCTGACTGACTTTTCTTGGTTTTTCCTGTTTCATGTGTACTACATAATCCCCCTTCCCACTTCCTGTCGGCTCGACAGCAAGGGTGAAAAATAATAGGCGAAATTCACGGAAAACAAGTGCTAAGAATTTTGAAGGGAAATCTAAGAAATGAAGGGGAGGAGATCGTATTTCTTCGGCGTTTTTTCTCGCATTCACATGGCTAATACCCCCCCCCCCGCTCGACAGCTCTCGCATCAGAGGAGAAAACTAGGGGGGGGGGGCGTCGCCAAAACCCCTGAGAAAAAAGAAAAAAAAAGAGGGAAAATACGAACTCGACCAAAATCCCCAACTAATGATTTGCCCAGACTCCAACTTTTTCTGAGTCCACCACCGGCGTGGTACGGCGGGTATTCACTCTAACTCAGCGTTAGCTTCTAGGGTCGAACCTTTTTTGAGAGCAAATTTAGAAACGCACACGTTCTTTGCCGATCTGACTCATGACTTTGTTTAGTAGTGGCAAGTTGCGCTGCTTCTCAGACGCGGCTGAGAATCAGGGACCGCCTCCCACCCCGGCCATCTAGGCCAACCAAACCTTAGATGGCTGTTGTCTATGAGGATAAACGACTGGCCTGACCATTGGTCAAGAACAACTCTTTTGAAACTGCTCGATGCGACCAGGCTCCACGTTTTGCCATCAAGTGGAACTTTGAAGCGTAGGAGGGGCTGAGGGATCTACGATCAGCACACCAGCTAGGGGCGGGGGGAAAGGAGAGGAACTGTTGAAGGCGAGGGGTAGGGCCCTACGATCCGCGCACCGCCAGCTAGAGGCAACGGGAAGGGAGAGGAATACAGCGCGCGTGGAACGGCAGAAATAAAATTTTTGAAATTCAGCATTTGAGAGTACAGTTTTCACTGTTTTTGATCTTTCAAGTTCTGTCGAAAGGCGAAAAAGCTGGAATGCTGGCCTTAGATAAACTGTAACAATTCTTGAACGGCTCCAAGTGTGCTATTCAAATGAAAATTATCTCTTAGTAAAGTTCGACCCCATCCCCAGCGACCAAATACAACCCCTCCTTGTTTCCTTAGCCGTGGAGTGTTCATTGTCGAATTATGTTAGCCGGAATCATATCCGTCACGGAAGGTGAAAGAGTCAGTTGAAACTTACCCCCCTGCGCAGCCCAGGATTTAACCAATGGTCAGCATACAAGCGAAGACCGAATTCACATGACTCCACAATTCCGAATCGAAGTCAGTGCATGCCGCTTTCGTAAGATGACGCATTTTAGGAAACCTTCACGGCGCAGTTCGGCGACGGGGAGGGGGAGCATTTTGCACTATGCTACTAACCAGAGAGCTATTTCACGAGCTCACAAGGGTTGACAGGTTTTATCACGATAGCTTGACGAGCCTACTCTAGCTTAACAAGAGTTCACAGGCTTTACCAGAAAGAAACCTGAAAACCGGAACTAGTGCAGCAGTAAAAGTGCAAATGCCCCCCAACCTTCACCAATGGTGTTCTTTCCAAAGGCAGAAATGCTGCCTTGCATACCATTCAATTCCAAAGCCTACGAAAACCTATTCAATGCTGTTTGCAAATTCAACGAAACATGAAGTGCTTCACTTTTTCTACAGTTCAAACAAATATTGTATGCGGAAGCTTTGACACATATATTATCCTACCATGAGTTTCAGACTAGCATGTGATCTGGGGGACCTTGTACAAACACAGCCAAACCCCTTCTTGACTGGCAATCATTTGTGCTCTGGCTCGGCCACAAAAAAATAGGTATAAAGTGTTTTTTTAACGAAACACTTTTAGAACGGATATTTTGAAGTGTGCATG